CAGGCTGGGCTGGAGCCGAGAGGCCAGGGACAGGCAGACGGGCGGACAGCTGCAAGGACAGAGCAGGGGCACTGATGGACTCAGGGATGCTGGGACCCATGGACCACTCCTCATATTCGGCTCTTACGTTGCACTTATCACCCGAGGGACGCACGCTACCCTGGTGCGGGCAGCTGGACAGACGCTCGGACTCGCATCTCCCCCCAGGGGGTCTCTGACACCTGGGCTACTGCCCCTGTTCTGAAATGGCCCAGCCGGGCCCAGCCCGCGTTGGGGAAAGTGCAGACCGGGGTCCCAGTGGCCTGGCTCTCTCCGTAACACTCCTGCAGCCAGAACCCCAGCTCTGAACACAGCGCCCCACTGGGGAAGAGCCCAGGTCTGGAGCTAAGTGACATGGCCAGGGCTCTCCTCTGTGACAGTCCCCCATGGGAAGCCATGCTCTGCCCTGAGCACTATACCTGTGCTGCTATAACTTGCAGGGGTAGGCCAAGCCTCGGTAAATGGTAGTAGCTTGTGTGGGAAGGACTTTGCAGCAATGTTTCCTCTAATCTTTTCCATCCATGTGGGGATTTTTTCCATCCACGTGCAGAATAATTTTATGTGCACGGAGGCATGTGGGAATGTGCACCACCAGGAGAAGCACAAAACCCAGCTGCAGGCGCTTTGTGAATCAGCTGGGCGGGATTTGAATTTCTCCTGAGCAGCCGCAACTTTGGAGAGTCCCCCTTTTCCCTGAGGGACTCAGTGTGCATTTGTATCACAGAGGCAAAACACGGCAAGGATGGAGGCCTCAGAAAGCTGCATTATAATACAGAGAAGGATGAAATATGCAAATCAGCACAAGCGTGAGCTCATTGCTACAGCCTGTTAGCATTTCTGAAGCACTCATCACCTTGGTATCACTCAAGCACTGACGCCAATGCTTTTCATCTGCATAATTCCTTCAATCCAGTGACCCCAGAGCATCTTCCCGAGTCTGCGCTGGGCAGCTGGACTCTGACGCCCACGTGAAGGCACTTGAGGATTTCCTGAGTCTTCTGCACAGATTCAGGACTATGAAAGCCCTCACTGACCCACAAAGAGGCAGGGGACTATCATGAACCCCACTTAATTTGGGGGGAAACCGAGGCACAGAGGGCTTAAATGTCTTGTCTGTGGTCACACACGGCGCCAGAATCAGAAGTTGATCCCATGACTCCTAATACCCAGGCATGTGTTTGAACCCCATGACCATCCTTCCTCTCTTACGATGCGGAGCCTGTTAGCACTGTAGTGACGCTTAAAAAAAAAAAATCAATGTTCCAATTTTCTCAGGTGTTCAGGGTTTCAGGCCAGCCACTGACTATGGGATTCATTTAGGAGTAATTGTTGACTCCCTTTCCAGCACCAGTTACAGCTGATAACTGCTTGCCTCCCTGTTTTCTACAGACCTTTCTGAATGGGAGCATTAGGAGGAAAAAAGACAGTGGGGAGTGGAAAGGGCAGTTTATACTGTAATTACTCCTGAGGAAAAGGGCCTTTGAAACAGCAGTTGAACCAATGAAGCAAATTAGCTTCAGTCAAGAGCCCTAGAGGCTTTCATGGGCCAGTGTTGCTCTCCAAAGCAGATGTGAGTGCAGCATGCTGGTCTAGCTGGCTACCGTAATCCAACTGCATTCATTTTAATGAACTGGATTCTGCCCCAAGTGATAACCATGTGAGTGTCATGGAGCCCTCCTCATTTCAGTGGGTTTATTTTTTACCCCAGTCTAACTGAGATCAGAAGCCCAGGCCATACAAAATGTGGCTGTAAAACACCGCCCCCGGCAGGGTGGAATGGGTCAGACCTGTATCTACCCCACATGCTGACCCCACGGTGGGGTGTGCACAAGCAGAGGTGCTGTAAATTTGTTCCAGGATGGAACTGGACACGGTCATTCATGCTGGGCATAGACTCCCCCGTTTCCAACCGGAGGGGCTGTCAGACCAGCTAGCGTTTCTGGAAAAGGCCGTTGTCACCTTGAAATCTGGTGAATTTTTTATAAAATCATTTACAGTCTTTTCATGCCCCACATCTTCCCTCTGCCAGCGTTTGTAATGTGATAACTACAAGAACAGTGATAAGGACGCTGAGCGACTTTGTAAAGCACTTTGCTATCTACTGATGAAAAGTCATCCAGGCATCACTGGTATTTTCTTTTCCTGTGGCTAATCCCCACTCCCCTGCTGTTGGAGAGGCACACACCCATTGAGGGTCTGTCAGTCTTTTCGGGGGAATCAGTGACGCTGGTTCTACACCAAGTACCGCCGGTTGGTACACAGTCGTCCAACTGAAAACGCAGGGAGAAATACAGTTTTCTCTTTCAGCCCCTGCAGTCTTAGAGGAGTTGCTGGGAAATGATTTTCAGACCAAAGGAAGATTTTTGTTTTGAAGTTGACGCTGCCTTTTTACCTCCTGTGTTCCTGGAAGCAAATGGGGTCTGACTGGTCCATTCTGATCGGCAGCTTTGGCCAGAGGCATCCTG